CAACATTGCGAAGTCGAGGCGTTCGCCCGGAAGGAATTCGCATCTCGTGGGAAAGCGCAGCGCGCCCTCACTCAGCGATAGCGATTCATATGCCTCCATCCCGACACTTCTTGGGCCCAATATCCCGAAAAAACCGTCTATTCGCCGTCTCAATAAACACAAATTCGTCAATTCGGGCTATGGAAACAATAGAAAGAGAAAGCCATCTGCTGCTCTGAGTGAGGTTTCCTTCTCAGACAGCGATGTCGATAACGATGATGATGAAGACGAAGATAACGAAGATGCCGTCGATGATGATAGTGAACAATCCGAAGTTTATGCCCCGTCTTATGGCCGGAAGCCAGGGAGAAACCGTAAGACGGGGCGCCGGGGTGGTTTGTCACTCCTCAAGGACCGAAAACGGGTGAAGCTCCAGCATTCTGACTATGAGAGCTGCGCCGAAAATAGCTCCGTCAGTTCTGCTAGTCCTCTCAGCTCGGTTAAATCAATCGACTTGGATTCAGATGACGGATACGAAGCTGTAAATGATGTTAGCGATGCAGACGATGAAGAGCAGGAGATTGAGCTGATGGAAGAAGAGTTAATCCTGGATTCGGAGTACGAGCGTGACTTGGAAACGGTCACGTCTGCACTTCCCTCTGGAATTCCAGATGAATGGCTAGGGTTGGACGATCTTGAAAACCGTCCGCTTTACTCTACTGGTTCCTTCTTTGAAGATGACCAGTTATTCTTACAATCGGGCAATATTGAGGCTGTCGATGATCATGTATTGACTAGCGCAACAGTCGATGTAGCTGCGCGACGCGTTCATTTTGCAGAATCAGATGATTCGTCGGACTCTGATAAAACCACTGATGATGAGCTCACGTCCGATTTCCTGCAACAAGATGCTCTAGATCCAGACCTACGACGGATGATCGAGAATGATTCCGAACCACTTCGTCGTCCACTCTCCAGTGAGTTCCTGGTTTCACAAGATTTCTATGACCTTCCAGGCAATATCTATCACGTGGAAACAGAGTCCTCTGTGGCAAGTTCCAGTGGTTATGAGTGTATGTATTTTCTTGCGGAAAAATATACCTTAAGGTAGCTAACCATGATTTACAGCGGATTGTGGTGAAACGACCGACGAAGATTTACCTCCCCCAGCAACTATTACACACCCTCGATCCATCTTACGTCGCGACTCGAGCGCATCATTGCCTCCCTTTATGGAAGAATCTACCCAGCGCTCACAACCACTACGACGGCGTGGACCTCTTAGGGGCACTTTCGTTGCTGATCCCCATAAGCCAGTAGCTGTTGTGGCCCCCAATGGCGCTCAGTTAATCCTCATTCCCCCGTATTCAACTTCTAGACACGACTGGCTTGAATCTGCTACTCAGAGCCTATGCAACACCGCCAACAATAGCCCCCGACCAACCGCTGCCACTCTTGCTGATGACAGTGACACCGACGCTCTAGTGTCGCCAATGCAGCCCAACAACCTAAGCCCAATGCTCTCCTCTAACGCCAATCTCATGATCACCGCTCTGGGCAGCGATTCCGTTGGTCAAATAACCGGTCCACCTGAGGCCTTCTATCCCTCCAACGGGCTGCTCAGCTTCGACGAGGAAGACGAAGACGATGATAGTGAAGGAGTCCTCAACGTAAATGACTTTATTGACTTTGGAAACGGTTCTTCGGACGAAGAAGACCTGGACAAAGCCTTCGACGCCGCTGAGGACCTCGCCTCAGCGGTTGGAGCTGGCTCGCCGTCATTAACCATGAACAATATTTCAATGACGACAACAACAGACTTCGTCTCTCCGGTCAATAACAATAGCGCAGAGCGCCTCTTAAACCACCTCGACAGGGGTATCGTGACTGCGTTCCGCCGCAACCACTCTCGCTACCAAGCTCTGATCCGACTGCCCCAGCACCGCGAGTTCGTACCAGCCAACTCACCCTCCCGACCCGCCAGCGTCTTCAGACGCAGTAAATATATCGATAACAAAACTCCAACGCGAAGGCGGACGGGAGTAACATATACTGGCGGCGAGGCGGTTCGTCGTAAGCTAGTTGAGTCGCACCGCAGCAATTCAATCTCTTTCTAAAGAAAGGACCTTGCCTCCTTTCCACCCTCCCCCCTCCGAGCCGATTGCGTCTCTAACGAAAGCTTAATTTGTGTAACCTTCATTTTTCTTGGTGGGGGACTAACTCTTTTCACTTCATACCTACTCTTTTTTGTCTCGCCTCGTCTTAACATTATCTACTGCCTTGATACCGTTTGTGGATATTTGTGTGGAAATGTCTTTCACCCCCTCAACTTTCTATATGACCTAATTACCAAATGAAATAACGTTTTTCCTTTCCCGTTTCCCGTTTTCGTTTTCTTTTCTCTTTTTCCTTTTTTGTTTCCCTCCGTCGCTCAAAGTGCGCAAATTTACTTCAACTCTTGTTTCGAGATAAATGATGATTTATTTAGCCACAAAAGCTGAAGCGCCCTTAAGTTTTTTATATGAGTTTTGTTTTCTCTTGATTGATCTTGATTATCAAAAAGGATTCTTTTCTGTGTGCCATGACGTAAGGAAGCTGAAGCTATTTGCTTAACCCTATTAGTGTCCAATATAATGACAGTTGAATACAAAAATGGAAAGGATAAAATGGAGTCTATTAAAAAGTGAAAGTATAGTGTAGAAGTTTCCCTCTTTTTTCGTTATCATCCCCCCCTCCTCCCCCTTCTACCTTCTCTTCACTCTTCAATAGCAAAAGTCCAATTGCCCTCTAATATACTAGCACCAAGAGGGGGAGACCAAAAGTATTTCCGACCCATTCACGATGAGATATAATTAAGGAGAAGAGGGGAGAAAGGAGCAGAATTAAACAAGTCCAATAACTTTAACTACCTAGGTATCCTTTGAAAAGCCTAACCTGGAATGAATCATAGGTTGCACGCGAAGCGCATCTTTGTGAGAAGTATAAGTGTTGTATGAGGGATGGGTTTTATATACCTCTCTAGGATTTTAACGTACTGTACTGGGGCCTTCTGGCTTCCGTGGGAGGATGAGACTTTTTGTCTTGAGTCTTGACACCCCCCTAGCCTTTAAACGCAGCTTCCCCCTTCTTTAATTTCCCTAGGAAATATTGTATTTGACTCCGTCCTTCGATTTGTTCTTACCTGCTCCTGCATTATTTTTCTTCTTCATGTGAGTTCTTGTTCTTTCTTTCGTGTCTGTTAGTTACCTACCGTCCTCTCCTGGACTCCCTCCGCCCTTCTTCAAAAGTACGATAAAATGAGTGCTCTAGAAGGCGGCTCTGGTCGAGTCCAAGGGGGAAAATAAGGGGGGAAAATAAGGGGAGGAAATAGGTTTAGCCAGCAAGTTCTATATATGAATTCTTTGATATCCTCCGTTATCAATCGGAGATAAGGATGTATGTACTCTCCATTATTTCTGATTCCTCATAGGGCTCTCATGACTTCATATACGCCCGTTTTGAATCCCGGTCCGCACTAATCCGGGATACCCTCGGCCCGGAGAAGCGATCTGGGCCCATTCCACCGCGGCGAAAGAAAATCACGTGATATTAAGGTTCGTCCATTTGATGCTAAATTCAACGTCAGTTGGGTTTGACTCTACCTATCGCGGGCTCGAGGTTAGTTAGCCTGATCCTCTTTGCTTAATTCGTCTCTTGTCTTGGGAGCTGGGGTGCCGTTTGTTCAGATCTGGCTGAGAAATCTGTTACCTTTTGTTTTCTTTTGTTTTCAATTTTTTATAGATACTATGCATGAAAGAAAGATGAGCGGCAAAGCCGGAAGGCACTAAACAAGACAGGTGAGGTGAATGACGGAGAATTGGGAGAAAGACATGAGGAACGAGAATGAATAACGGGTATATGTGTGTACAAGCAACTTCAGCTTTTCCCCTTAGGTATGGTAAGAAATAAGTGATAGTTTTGAATCTTGGGTTTTTGATGCCATTGCCCATGCGGAGATGCGCCCAGAATATACGGATATGCGATGCTGTTTTGATGCAACGGGCCTTTTTTGATATCATCATTGCGTCCCCCCTCCATCTCAATAATACTGATTTGGTCCACGACATTTGCACCGATGCACATTTGATATATTCGTCGAAGCCCGTTGCCAGCAAACCTTGGCTCTACTCTTCAAGATATCCTCCACTTTCTTGATGTGTTTTGTTTCTGAGCTTTATGGCTGAGGCTTTGCTTCCAAGAAATTGTGGATCTTTCGCCCTGAGTGAAGAACCACGCCCCAAAATAATTATTATTACGCAAAGAAATTTTTGCTCAATAATTCACTAGTTACATGAGTTTTCTCTCACATGCTCGAAGTGGTACCCAGAACCCGCTTCACACCAATATTCTCACTTATCCCAAGTCATTCCTTCGTTGCTTCGTTGCTTCATTTGTTACTTTGTTTGATGTCATTATGGGGGAAAAAACAATATTCTATCCGTTGCTCTCCTCGGTAGCACATGCGTGATCCACATCTGTCTGACAGATTCAAACCCACACATAAAAACTGCAGGTTGACATGGATATGCGCCGTCGCTGCCCTCGGCTTGGTATCGGCGTGTGGAGTGGATCCGTTCCCCCTACGACCCCGCCGTGAAAACAATCCAATTTTTGTGCATTTTGGGGGGTTTCCTATACACGATCAATGGCGGAACTGGTATGTATCGCATCGTATGATTTTTTTTTCCCTTTCTTTTTTTGGCTTGATGGTTGCCTTATTTGCGGAGAAGAACAGATCTCCAGTTGTTACCGCTGGCTGACATTGCGTTGGCTTGTCCTGGCATATAAAGTCAGGAGCCTCGGATAGGGGAGCCACAGTTGGGAATCATGGTATCGGACAACATCTACATATATACCTTATAAGTAACAGAGCCATATACATCTTGTTCCATTTTTTTGAAATCTTCAACACCATATTTCTTGGACATAAGTTGCGATTATTTTCATTCTCTTCCCTTTTAGCAAAGATACCTTTCCGAAAGATGGCTATACCAAACCTGTTCCGGAGATCAGACGAAAACACCAGAACAGCATGGGGCTACAGTTTTCAATGGACCCCCGAACATTTGTCGGGGGAGCAGATGGAGCCCATGAAGCATTCCTATGACAGATTAGCCGATGAGTGTCTTACGCGACTAAATGAGATCTCGCCACCCCCACAAAAAGCCCTACCTCGAACGACCGATAGAGGGGCCCAGAACAGCAAGACTGGAAAGGAGAAACCAAAGAGAGATCTCTATCTGCTCCTACGAGATAATGCGGATAAGGACGATAAATTAGCAGAATTGTGGAATCAAGTGAATACTGTTCCCGACTGGGTGGACTGGGACCAGATCGAGAGGGGCCAGGAGGTGTTCTACCGATATGGTATCCCAGCTCTGAATGCGGTAAGTTGGAGAGATCCTCTCTGTGATGAACAATGGGAGGAAAAAAGGCTTACAATGTCCGTTGCTTTTCATCTCAGCTTGGATTCGAGAGTCTGCTAGGAGGAATGTATGTTTCCTCTTCGCCAGCGCATCAATTATTAAATGCCTCTTTATAAATGTCCCTTTTTGCTAACATTGAAATGTGATCAGGGGTGCTGGACGCATCGTTGAAACCCTTGCTCGCACGGGGGGGTTTTCAGCAAAAATTGCCCGGCACCGGATGTTCGAGACGACTCAGTTTGTTTTCCAAGTCACCATGTCCCTCAAGAATATCCAGCCAGGAGGAGACGGCTTTGCTTCCGCAGTAAGAGTTCGGTTGCTCCATGCAGCTGTCCGAGCGCGCATCCTCAACCTGGCCAAAACAAGACCAGATTATTATAGTGTGGAGAGGTTCGGCGTCCCAGTCAACGACCTGGATTGCATCAGCACGATCGGGTCGTTTTCCACCCTCCTGGTCTGGCTCAGCTTACCGCGCCAGGGCATTTTCCTCCGCGAACAAGAAATCCTCGATTATATTGCTTTTTGGCGTCTGGTGGCTTACTACCTTGGTACGCCAACTAAGCCATTTGAGTCACCTGAAAAAGCACGGAAAATGATGGAATCCATCCTTGTGTATGAAGTCAACCCGACCGAGATGAGTAAGATCTTGGCGAACAATATCATCACCAGTCTGGAAAATACACCTCCTGCATGGGGAAGCCGTGGGTTCTTGGAAGCTACTGCTCGCTGGCTAAATGGTAAGGAGCTTTCTGATAGGCTTGGTATTGGAACACCGGGATACTACTACTATGGGTTGGTACTTGGGTATTGTATTTTTGTCAGTTTGTGGTGCTATGTCCAAAGGACCTTCCTCTATTTGGATAGAAGACACATTGCCGTAAGTACCGCCCCGTTGCATTTATCTTTGCTTTCTTTCCCTGATTCACTTTATCTATCACACCCCGAAACAAAATCAAATCAAAACCTAGATTTTCATCAAATCCCACGCCATTACTAATGTTCGGTAAACACAAATGTCTAGAGAATGCGCCGCCATTTCTGGAAGATCATTCTCGACGAGAAGATCGGACTTGGCGAGGAAACCAAGTTCGACTTCAAATACGTGCCCGGTTACGATCTGACGACGGAACAGGGCGGGAAGGTCGAGCGTATAAAGCAAAACTTTGGTATCGAGCTGCTGGGTTTCTTGGGTTTGGCTGGGGCTACAGTCACCACAGCTGCGATGGGAACTATTGGGTATGTGACATATTTGAGGGCACAGTGGGGGTGGAAGTTGATGGAGATGTAAGTAAGTTGGGGAAATAACATTAATGATCTTATGGATAATACTTTTTCGATTTACTCTGTTGATATCCTGTTGAGTCTGCTTTGTTTGGTTTTTGGTTCAGTGTTGGATTTTATTATTGTTTATAAACTTGCTGTGTCTATTCTTGTAGGTGTATAGTGGGAACATGATTGACCGTTCGCTGCACATAACTACCACATACATTTGTCGCTAGATGTTATTCTTGCTTGCTAAGAATAAATGCCTTTAAAGTTGTGAATGAGGAACCTCCATAGTCTCTCCCACTTAAATTCTCATTTTTGGACGAATCTGTACTGGCGCTATTCTAGGTAACTTAATTCCAACAAAAGACTCGCCAGCGTAACGATAGGCTTTAGCCAGCTTCCCAGTTTTAACTCCATCCTAGGTTCTTCCACCACTAACTACCCCTTCGAAAGCAGCTTGCATGGCTTAACTAACCCAGCGACCAGTCTCATCTGTGAGGACAGCAAATCCAGCTCTAGACTGCGTGGCTGTTTCAAGTCGAGAAACTCTCATGCTCTGTTCTGGTTCGTCGGCGCCCGCAACGAGGGGCTCAAACAGTCTGAGTTGCAGCCCCGATCGCCAGTCTCCACACCGCACAACACTCGATGAACTAACTACATTTAGAGCTTCGCGGTTTCATCAGGCACTCGTAAAGGAGGATCCTACAGCTAACGAGCTTTTCATAAATAGGAGGATTTGTATTCGATTTTCCTACGCCTCTATTACAACTCATCTGGGAAACCCGTTCCTGGGCTCAGAGATGACGCCCATGCCTGATCCTGCTAAGCGCCATGGGAGATCAATCAACAAGAACTTCCACAAGATCGCCGGCGTTCTAATAATACTTCTATTATGATCAAGCCACCAGCCTACTAGCTAATGTCGTGCAGATGGCCAAGGTTGCGACACGAATCTTCACGCCGCGTACCTGCAGGCGGTTAAGGTTTTCCTAGGCGTTTGAGAGGGCAAGCGAGAAAGCCAGCGAGTCCAGTGACTCTGGAAGGGGCCAGATGCAACACGCAAAAATAAGCCTCCTCGAAATGGAGCTCTTCCAGCCAAACACAGAGAAAATACGGCGACGACGTGCCGATTCTACCAGCAAGCTAGACAGCTTGGCGATCGCAGCGGGTTTCCGGGTTCCACCAGGCACCAGTCAAATCAGGCACAGGATCTCGGCGCATCCTTGCCGACAACCTCTGGCAGCTTCGTAATGTCCATTGACCAGTCAATTACCGGCGTTTCGATCTTGAACTGTCAACATGCTACTCCTCTCTGAGGGGAAAAGAGGAAGAGAGATGTTTCTCGCAACGCTAACTAGCTCTAGCTATATGTTTTCAGGCTAAAAGGATGTTTTATTGGTAGATTAACTTTCTACCTCTCGTTTCATCTCTCTTTCTCAGGCTTCCGAAGAAGGGAAGTTTCGCGCCCAAAGGAACCAAGAGCCAGCGAGGTTTGACCTGGCAACCGCAAGACTGGAAAATCAGCATGAGTGAACTAAAATAATGAAACAGCAAACAGCTGTCTTCAAGCTAAACGCCTAGCCAAGGGAAACTTTCAGTTTCTATTTGGGTTATTTTGTCTAAAGCCCGGCGCCTGGTCCCTAGTTATCGGCGGAAGAGCAGAGTTCCGGTTTTTTTTTTTTTTTTTTTTTTTTTTTTTTTTTTTTTTCGAAACAGGAGAAAGATCATGTATTTATTAATACTTGCAATGCCCTTTCAACTCTGACCTGTTTTCTTTTTGTTTTACCACATTCACTTCTTCTTTTGACAGTTTTTTTCCCTCTTTGCTTGGTGGTTGTCTTTGGAGCATTGGCACCACTCGTTCATGTGCTTCTGCATCTCGTTGATACCTGTCATACTTTTGTTATATTGACCTGTCACTCGCTGGCCTCGACTCTTTCGCTTCAAAAAATCGCTGCTAGTCACGATATATATAGTTTTCATTTGCCTTTTCTCTTTTAATATCGCATTAAACTCCATTTTCTTTTGGTTTAAGGTACCGCTTTCATCATGAGAACTGCACTGAGTGTAGTGGTGATTGTTGCGGCGGTAGTTCAGCAAGCAAGTGGAACGGTAGGCTTTATTTACCTTTAACCTACTAAATCATTCCCTATATCAGCAGCTAACAACTATGCATAGTTATTTTGGGGCACAAATAAATACTTCCCGAGCCCATCGAACTGTGACAACAAATGCTCAGACAACCAGAAGTCCGGATTCGACTGGACGGGCCTTGGACTTGGATCTTTCTCTTCATTCGGTGACTTTGACTTCTCGGGATTCACGTGCGGTGAGCGAAAGCCACCTCAGAGTAACTTCCAGGTACCATTCCCACTCCTAACATGCCAACGTTGACGATATTGAGCCTACTTCTAACACCAATTTATAGAGCAAATGCATTGAAGGCAAACTGTTAAGGGGCCTCACAGATGGCAGCCCGGAAATCTCCCACCGGAAGTCCAACGGTTTCTCAATCACTTCGTTCCAGATCACAGTCGATGAGGACACAGACATCGGCTTCGTGTATACCATGCCGGATGGCTCGACCTGCAAACATACCACCCTCTGTTCAAAGGGTGGCTCTGAGGTGCCGAACACACAATGCGGAGGCGCAGTGTCGGTCAAATTCAGCCTCCCTAAGTACAGCGAGCTGGATGATTGTGGTTTCGCAATTCACAAAATCACCTTCGACTGCGGACCCCCGGAAATCCCCAGCAAGCCCGTAGTGACTCCCACAGACGAAATTTCGTCGTACCCAGTTAGTTCCCCGCCAGCCTCTGAGTCGGAAAGCCAGTCATATCCTATGTCTTTGACCCCGACTTCCCAGCTTTCGGAATCAAATATTGTAACTATACCTTCCGAATCGTATCCTACGGGAACTCCGCCACAAACGCCTTCAGAAACGTATCCTCCGGGAACGACTCCGGGAACGCCATCTGAAACATACCCTCCAGGAGCTACCCCGGGAAAACCCTCAGAGCCATATCCCTCGGGCACTCCTCCGGCAAGTCAATCTGAAACATACTCTCCGGGAGTTACTCCAGGGAACCCGTCAGAATCATATCCTCCGGGAAGTACTCCGGGAACTCCTTCAGAAACGACACCTCCGGGGACGAGCCCTTCAGAAGTCTCACCTTCGAGAAGCACTCCCTCAGAAGCGAATTCGCCTGGAACTGCTCCTCCTGTCGTCACTCCTCCGGGAACAACCCCAACTCCAACAGAGGTTGTATCTTACTCCACCTCAACATTTTTTACCACATCCATGCTTGTTGTTACTAGCTGTGCTCCAGAAGTCAGTTCATGTCCTACCGATTCTACTGAAGTTATCACTACAACAATCGCTATCTCAACCACACTCCCAATAACTATCACGCCAACTTCGCCCGATCCAGTCATTACAGGCTCATTCCCTACTAGCTTAACCCCAGCATATCCAACTCCTACGAGCCCTGCAGATTCAACTAGTCCTCCTATCGGCGAATCAACGGCAACACCACCTGCTTCCAATGGGTCAGCAGTCACGCAAACCCCTCCGTCAGACTCGGCTATCACGGAAATGTTAGTATAGCCTTGGCTTCACTGTATTCATACTCTGGAAATTTAGAACCAGGGATGCTAACCAATGCAATACTTCTAGTACATATACCACCATTACTACTTGCCCAGTCACAGAAACCATCACCTCTGGTACCGCCGAAATAACAATTACTTCTAATACAGTTTCTACTATTACAGTGACCACCACCGGTACCGTGTGTCCGGGATGTCCAGTTCCTACACACCTGGGCCAACCCGATACTTCCTATCCAGCTGGTTCACAGCCGCCACCTCCGATCACATACTCAGCTCCATCAGGAGCAGTAACACCTCGCCCTTCGTCAGCAGCCCCAGTTACAGATTCACCTAGCCCTTCAACTCCTGCTCTGCCACCAGCTATTCCCATCGAAGCTCCATGCCCCAAAGTCGTCCCACAGTGTCTAAACACCTGGCTCAACTTGGTTCCAAAGTGTAGCTCGAACAGTGATATTAGCTGTTTCTGTCCTTCCTCCGAATTCACATCCGCGGTAATCGCATGTATCCAGTCCTGGGGTGCTTCTGACGATGAAATCCAATCCGCTCTCTCCTATTTCACTGGCATCTGCGCTGCAGACGTCCCGAAAAACCCTGGGATCATCACCGCGATCCCGTCAACAATTACTCTAACCCCACCACCTGCTCCAACACCCCCCGCAGCTCAAACCGGCGGCCCAGCTATCGTTACCCCTCCACCCCAGCCCCCATGCACCACAATTACCGTCTCTCAAGTGATAACAGTCTCCGGATCGGAGCCTACCACCCGCACCACCATAGTCACTGTCCCACAGGTACAATTCGTCACGGAAACTGTATCTGGTGCAACCACTGGTGTCAATGTCGGGCTTGTTCCAGGCACCACGGCACTCCCTGCAGAGGTTCCGACATACGGCCCATCCTCATACCCGACAGCCAACCAGCCTTCAACCCTCGCCACTCTTCCGGTCTCGCCAACCGGCAGTGAAACTCTCAATCCTTACACCGGAACTGGAGATGCTTTCTCCTTGTCCATTCCCTCTACCCTGTGGATCCTTTCTGCCGTCACCATTGCTATGTGCGTTTTGCAGTAGTTATAGATAGAGTAAAGAGCTAACCCGCCCATTATCTAAGTCATTTGCCATCTTTATTCCTCTCTCTCATTTGCTCCTTCACTATTTATCGGATATTTTCTTTGTTATACATACATATGGTTAAATAGGTTTCTTGTTTTTCTTTTCTCTTTCTCCTTTCCAGTTGCATCTATGCGGGCATCAATTGTCCTTTTCAAAATGGTTTCTTCTCCCGACCAGATAACAAAAGGTTTTCTTTATATAATACATAAAACATATCTGTCTGGTCTATGTCTTTGGTTCCCCTCGAAGAGTTTATTTTTATTTTTATTTTTTTATTTTTTATTTTTTTTGTTTAGCAACTCCAGATGAGGAGACTCTGGAAGAAGACAAAAAGTGACTAGAATCGATGATTAACATAATGTTATGTATTATTATTGTACGGAGATGTAAAACACTCGTTTTGCGCCTCATTTGCGCGTAATGACTAAAACAACAATAATAATAATAAAACCCAGTCAACAGAGCTAAATATCCAGCGTAGTTTCGTTCCATAATCAATAAAATCAAATCATAAATTCACTCTGCTTCCCCCTCCCCCCACCTTTTATTCTATCCAAACACCAAAGTCCTCACTTCAATGCTTTCCCTCCCAGGCGCGCCAGCCGGTGTCCTAGAATCAACAAAGGCAGTATGTGGCACCCGCTTCCCCGCAACATCGGCTGAATCCGCGCATTTCAGCAGCAGCCTCTCATCATTGGTCATGCCCGACCAATAATACCATTTCTGGCCCTCGTTATACCGAACGGCAGCAGTTTCACCATTGCGGTGCGGATACCGGAATTCAACAGGCACAACATCCTCGTCGCGCACTGATGTTGCCGCTGCAAAGGCGAGAGGAGATGCTTGCACGGGGCCATTCAATGGGCGCCATACATTGATGATCCGATAGCGGCCCTTGAGCAGCTGCTCGGCCTCGTCTGGGAGGTGGTGCCTAACGCGCGATGCTGTCGAAGCGGGAGTTTGGTCTACGTGTGCTAGCAAAACTGGCCCACGGCTGGCACCCGCGTGGGAGCGGCGGATTGTGTGGTCAAAGGTAAAAACGCGCTTTGCGCCTGGGACCTTGTCGAAAATCAGCTTCTCGACTTCGGGGTAGTAGACTGACTTTATGTTCTCTTCGTCGGTGAAAGAGGGCTCTGCTGCGGAGGGGACGTTTTCAATAGTCTGGAAGGCGTCGCGGTCCAGAGTGAATTGAGATTCGTTGTTTCGAATGTCAGTTATGGTAACTGAGTGCGGCGTGTCACTGTAGTTGCGGTTTTGTTCCCCTGGAGGAGGCTCGACATATTGATAGGGACGAGCTCCGTCACTAGGAGGCTTGAAATAGTATATCTGAGCTTCCACTGGTCCGCGGGGGATGTAGGTAGCATCCTGGTTGGAGCCAGAAAGGTGGGTTGAAGAAGGGCTGGTAGTAGTTGTTGTTGTCGACGACATTTTCTGACAAACAGGAATTAATATCGAGAGACAGGAGGATGTAAGATACACAATTGATGGTAGGTTATAGTAGTTTGGAGATTATTCCAGTTGGCAAGTGCTATGGTAGTGAAACTATAGACGGAAGGATTTGATGATTTCGATATAAATTCCTGTTCCCTTGATATGGGAGGACGAAGTATTTATATTGAGTGGTCCACATGCTAGGAGGCACGTGAGGGAGCTATCGAAATCCACATCCCGGCTCGTATATCATGGGCCTGGGTTTGAAATCAAAAATAGTGTTTCTTATGGACGGTAGATGGAGATCTGTTCAGGTGTTCACGGATTGGTCTCGTCAACCCCCTCCCTCCCGGAACATTACTAAGCCATGCACCGCTAACTAGCCATCACGTCGCTACTCTGCAATCCCCCAAAAAGTGCTGCGGGGAAAAGGCCGATATCTTCGGTTAGTCAGGGGAGCGTCATACCTTTGGAGACCTGTTTCTTTATTCGTAAATACCCTGCTATGGTATAAGATAACGCCTGAATGGTGCAATGGGAGAATGAAGAATGCGATTGCAAATCATGCATTCGTCGGATACATATCACCAGTCTGGTGCACGCTGAGTCGTTGAAGATTGAACACTTCACGTCATCTATAGATGATTTGCAATTAATTGCCCCTCATCTTACACACACAATGGGTTATTATTGGCAACTTCTTGAAGGCCTTTGCATAGAGCTCTGGAGATACAGCAACAAAGTAGGCAGTAGGCCGAGAAACGTACTGCCAGTGAACCTTGCTCTCAACTGTTGGTTATCAACCTGCACCAAGCAGTTGTGTCGTTTTCAGCAGATTTTAGAATTAACGCCGGAGAGATCGGAGGAGTTGCAGTACAACCTGCGAGCCTAGAGTGTTATTCCGCTCTCATTGTGCGTTGCGTTGCTTTGATGTTTCGATGTCTCTGTGGTCTCATATCTCGCGGATCGGCCGAAATCCGAGCTCCGGATGCGGCTGACTAATGGCGTATTTGGCGCTAGACCGCTTATAGCTAAAAGACCTCGGGAGCATCGCCAGGCATATAATCACGTGATATAATTCCCTGTCCGTTCGTCTGAGGTCATCTACTCCGTGTATGGCAGCGGGCAGCAGCCACAACATGCGTTGGACCTGAACAATCCCACCACTCTTAGATTTGGACACATCCCTGCTGTATCCGATCTCTACTCCTTTCCAATATTACTTTGCTTCTATCCTCGCTTCCCTCCGGCCTCGACCCCGAAAACCTGTCCTCAGAATCGCTTGGCGCTCGAACGCAGCTCTGTTTGGGCTACTCACTCCAATTGCCGTCTCCGTCCACAGGCCTCAGCAATCCATAAACCTTCATTCAATATCTAATATCTATTAGCGAATTAGCTAACAATCGCTACATCATTTCTATACCCCTTGGAAGAGCGCCAGCGTTGATCCGATCTCACCTCTTCCTAGACCTCCTCCGTAAAGACATACGCAAAGCTGCCGCCTCCGTTGAAACATAACAACCTCTGCCCCACGAGCATATCCAGTATCAGTGGTATCTCGACAAGACCCCTACATCTCCCTCACAGCTGCACTCGCCTTCAATTCTTCCCTGGTATCATACGGCTCATACTGGAGGCTTGTCGCAGCAAAAGCGGTCTCCAGGGCTCCGAGGTTCTGCCACTGTCACAGGTTTGTTTTGTTTGTCTTGTAAATAAACTTCCACCAGAAATTGATTTCCTGTCTTGCCTCATCCGCCCAATATCTTCTTTTCCTTGTCACTACTTTTTCCTATTCCATTTCATGCATATACCTCCTAACAGTTTTGCATCAATAGATTTTTTTATATTCTATGATTATTTGGTCTTCCTACGGCACACCGTCAAACTCCCATCGATCCATGCGCTACATCCTATCGCCAAGCACGGTCGAAAAGTGTCCCTACCTTTGACCCCGGTATTATGGTGCTTTTGATTCTACTTTGATATTCCGTGCCTGCAGTATTCGATAGTCATATCCGAATAGCTGTGTGCTTTCACTTTCTGGCCGACCACTATTCTCCATTGCCTTGCGGTACAGCTGGAATCTCGCCTTGGCGTGGTCCTTCGTTATCACTCCCAAAAAAATCCCATTTAAGTATCCTCGCCGTGACCTCGATATCGATTACCACTTCAAACTGTCTCCTATACCGTCTCCAACGGAGCCTCATAGTCTACTAAAGTAAAATAAATCTTCGGATTCAGAGCCATACCATGCCGATGGCTTATTCCCCGCCTCCAGTTTCCCCAAACACCGCAGCCGGCCCGTTTCACGGGATGGGCGCAACCCAGTCGCACATGATGACCTCCAACGCTCGAAACCGTTCGAGATCTCCCACCTCCAACCCTCAACCTGTCTCGAAGCGCGATAAAAGACGGAGTGCCCTACAAGATAGGGTCCATGACCTCACCGAAACATTCAGCAACGAACGCGATTACCATTTCCGCAAACAAGTTCACGATTTGCAAAATGAAATGACCCTTATTTCCAGCTCCCAGCTATATGACACGGAACCTCTGAGCGACTCACCAGAAACAATTTCGAAGCTCATTGAACAGCTCTCCGCGGCTGGGCATCTCGTGCCTGACACGATTCCTTCGGGCAAATGGTATGCCAACTTTGTTCAGGAAATGAATCAAACGAAAGAGCAGCGGGATTTAGAACTCGCCGTACTCATGGTAGGCGCATGTGCCCCACTCACTCCTATTTCCTCACAATTCTATGCTTTTCTTCCACATGAAGACTCGATCTAACCATCATTTCGTAGAATCGTCATCGCGACCAATTTTCACGAATTAAGCGGGAACATGACTTCAAAATCCAGTTCGCACACCAGGAATGCGCCAAACTAGGGGAGACAATCAGGGAACGATTGGTTATGTCAATTTCACAAAAGAAAAACCGACTAATGAAAGAAAAGGAACAACTCGACCTTGCTGACACCAACGCTCTCCTCTTGCATCCAAATCAATTTTCTATTGCAAACCCTTCAAGTCCTGGGGGGCTGCAGAGCAACCGAAAAACCCGCCACACGCGCCATAGGGTTGATATGGATGACATGGGAAATGGAATTGGCTCGGAAACAACCAATAAGCGGAAACGAAAAGGCCCACTGGAGGATGACTTCGGTTCTCCCGCGCGCGACGGTGGCATGTCAACGCCGGCAGACCGAACAAAATCGCGACTGACACAGCATCAAAACGCCGCAAGCTATCACATATCGTCCCTCTTTACCGAAAAAGAGCTGGCAATGCACAGCAACAGCGCGCACGTCGCCGCCCTCCACTTCCTCGCTGCCTCCAAAAAAGCAAAACAAGCATCAACCCCAGCCACAAACGGACAGAACGCCGCCGACGGCGACGACCTAGCAGGCTCCGGCGCTGACGGAGGCAGCGGGCAGGAGGACGCCAGCGCCGCGCTCGAGATGGAACGAACAGCCAGCCAAGGCTACCATGCCACACGCTCGACACGGAACACAGGCACATCGGGGCTAACCCTCCTCGGCGATCTGGCAGACAAGACCGCCACCCGGCCCAACCTACCCTATTTCATCCTCGGAAACTACCACGCACGACCAAACGGGTCCGGCTCAGCGCCGCCACCGCCGCCGCTCATGCCGGACGAGATCGAGGACGATCTCGCGCGCATCGAACGGCTCGCTAGCAAACCGCGCGGCTGGATCGACATGCGCCTTGTCAGCGAGCTCGTGGACGCGACGCACGAACACGAGCATGCACACGAGGAGATGGTGGATGGGATCTTCCTGGAGAGTTCGGAGCGCTTTGGGTCGCTGCATCCGGATTTCCCCGCGCAGATGGACGTGCATTTGGTTCGACTGTATCCGCGCAAGGAATCGTGACAAATCACAATAAACCACCCCCCACCCCACCTGGTCCTAACGCTTTGGACATGGGGGACGGTTATTTGATATTGGTATTCTATGTTCTATGTCCTGGCCTTGTTCTTCTTTGTGTTTGCAAGCGCCAGCGGCGGGGGAGCCCGATTACGCGTAACTATAAATCTGTCCGTCTGTCCGTCTCACTATTGAGGCGTTTTTTTTTTTTTTTTTGCCCTTGGTCCTAGGAACTTCTTGCTCTTCTTTTCTGTCTGTAGCTCGCGCTCGCGCTCGCGTTCCAAGGAAGTTGGCGTTATTAAACTGGATAGGGTTGGGTTGGGTTTGCGTTTATTTTATATGTATCCAACCAATGTTTTCCCCCCCAATGGGGCTTAAAGCGGGGGATATAATTTTATTTTTCTTTCTATTTCTATCCGTAAGGCGCAATTGAGTTTTCCTCGTGTCGGCAGCCACTTTTTCTATATTAACTATTTTAACCTCTTTCTTCTTCTTCTTCTTCCTGTTGGTTTTTCTGGTATCTATGATATATACTCGTGCCTCAATTCAATCCCTATATATACCGTAGCCTAGTAAGTCGCATTACCCTACCCCACCCACCCTGTACCCTGTAACGGAAGAAAAATGAAAATAAAATAAAATAAGTTTAATATCAATTAACACAGTCCATTTGCGAAAAAGTCCTATCTAGGCAATCCATTACTCCTCTCACGGTTGCTAGGATTGGGCGAAGTTAACTCTGTTTCTTCTGCCTCTTGAGAATTCACTTAGTGTGTGTGCTGTGTTGCTACACATGAAATTACATCTATGTATAAATAAAGCCTCACAGGCTATATACACTACAACCTCTTTGAATATATATATATATAACAGATTGCTAACAGTGACTAAGTATTATTATATAGTTAGTTAATGATTATGATACAGTAGAATAAAATAATAGTAATAAATGCTAAATTTCTCTCTCTTATATTCATCTCATCTCTATTCCAATCCTCTCTCTCTCTAAGTGAAAAAGTAGGGGAAAAGTTAAAAAGATGGAAAAAGAAAAAAAGAGTTGACAGGAAACTAAAAAAAAATAAAAAAAATAAAAAAAAATAACATTAGATATGTATAAATAATGGAGAAGGAAAGAGGAAGAAAAAAAAAAATTAAATAAAAATAAAGTAAGGTTTCCAATGCTTTCAATATACTCAAACCAAAACTGGGGAGCAAAAAAAACCAAACATTCAAAAACAGGAAGGGAACGCGCCAAATGAATACCTGCTGTTCAAGCCAAGGGAAATTTTGTTTTTCGCTGCACTAGCCATTGCAAAATTTCCCTTAAGATAAATAATAATAGTGTTATTTTTCCATTTTTCCCATATATTTCCCGCCCTTTCTTCATTTTGTTTTTTTGCAAAAAGGGAAAGGAAAATAATAATAATAATAATAATAATAATAATAATAATAATAATAATAATAATAATAATAAAACGGGTAGTCCCATTAAATTTCAACGTCAACGGTTTCGCCATTTTTCCTATCTCGCTGCTCCAGTTAGTAGCAGCTACTGCGATCTGCGAATAACAAAAACGCCAACCTCCATGCTTTTCCCGAGATCAGCCGACATGTCGATACTCGCCCTATTCCGGAGCCCCTGGAAAAGCACCTGCAGAAGTGACGGGCCTGATATTTCCCGATTCCCCTGCTGGCGAGTTCCCTGTGACGAAGCCGTAAGGCTGGTTGGGAGCTGGTAACCGACCCGCCAATAACCATTTAGAATGTCCCGTGCCCTTGGTGTTTCCTGTTGAATATACCATTCGATCCACGATTTGCGATCCATGCAGATTTCGCCCTTGCCGCCGTAAACCAGGGTGAAACGGGAGCTGCGAGTCGGTGCTGGGCCAGCCAATGACGACTCGCGTTGTCTTAAGTTCTCGCAAAGCCGCAGGATGTTGTTCTGCATTGCTTCGAAATCGTCCATTTCGGCTATCGCGGGCATAGAGCCTAGGGCTTTGCTGATATCTGCAGACAACTCGTTGACTACAACCATTTGGCGAAGGAGGGGGTCAAGAATTGGGCCCAGATATTCATTTTTGAATGTGCGGGCGCCTTGCTTGGTTGGATAGATCAACACTAGGTTGCCTCCTTGAGGGGATAGTTCACGCAGACGATCGACTAGAACGGAGGGACCAGTGGCTGAGAACAGATTTCGGTATTCTTGAGACGAGGGTGGAGGAAGATAACGTTCAACTATGGAGATGTGCACACTATATGGAGGGACAATAGCCGTGTGAGTATGTGTGGATCCAGGTGAATCATCTGATATGGAGTCACGATGAGATGCATATGCAGGAACCGGAGCCCCACTAGAAAACACGGTCAAATTGAAGTAGTCATCGTCCGGAGACATTCGGTTTGGAGTACTAGGCGGAGACGTTGGCAAATTATTTAGGCTGAATTTTGGGGGCACTGCATGAATGATATTAATATAAGGAGACTGGTCAGCTTGGAGTCGACGTTGGATTTCCTCGACGATGTTACTAAACGCGGAAACTGGGAGGGAGCTTGGGGTTTGGTCGATAGGCGGGCATGGCAGCGTTTGCGACACCATCTGTACAGCTTGGCCTGGCGTTTTCGAAATTTTAAGTGAAGACACTGCAAATTGCTCTAAGTCAGTAATAAGATCCAGACAGCCAGGGAACACAATAGAAAAAAGGTTTTTTTATGGGAATGCGTGGGACATACCAGCAAGTTCAATTCCATTTTTAAGCCATGACTTCGGGTCATCATTAGTGAATGGAATTTGCTCCATGCTTGGTTGTATGGCCCCATTCGATGTCACCGCCTGCGAAGCCGAGTCTGAAGCTTGACCATTGTTCTCCTTCGGAGAATGTGAATCCCCATTCGTGAGACTGTCCAATTGTGATGGCTTATGCCGATTGGGGCTTGAATGTACATCAGAGATAGGGCTATCCGACTCGGGATTCCATTTGACAGATAGGGTTTCCTCTGGGGGTGTGAGAGGTAGCGAAATAGAGCGGCTGTAAGGAAGCGCCGATGGCGTTTCGGATAATGTATAGGGGGACGAGGGTGGATGAATGGCGACGGTAGAGGGTTCACCAGCGGTAAATGGGGGACGTTCTGAATTTTGAAGGGAGGAAGGCGGAGGATTGGATGGTTTGGAAGAATTTGATATGCCTAAGGATTCAAAGGGTGGCAGCTGCAGATTGGGGGTTCGCCTTGAAAAAAATCGCATGATGGGCACTTGTTCTGTGCGGAGTGATTCGCACGACGAGCTACGTTTTGAAAACCTGGAGGACGGCCTGGGGGTTATGGAAGCCATCTGTATTCGATTGTTCTGGGCCTTTGACGGGTGAGAGTGGGAGTGGGAGATATATGGCAACGGACACCGCTGATGTTGTTGTTGTACTGTAGTTGAGTCTTGTATTCCTATGGAGGACGAATCATTGGACTGGTTTAGAGGGCTTGGGCTTCCAAAGGCCGGAATTGGCTCTGAGGCATCGCCGGTGACAACACTTCCCAATAGATTCATGACTCTCAAACGGGCCAACTCATTATCACTCTCTGGGAACATTCACACAAGGAAGGTATGTATTCTGGGCGGGAGGGCGACGGAGAGAATTTCGCGGACTCCTGCGAACCAGCTGACAAGAACGGGGGTTTGCTTTGAGGTCCAGACAAGTAGACAAGTAGACAAGTAGACAAGTAGACAAGTAGACAGTAGACAGTAGACAGTAGCAGACAGCCGAGAAGTTAATCAAGCAGCTAATTCGAACGACAATTCGCGCAGGCCGCTGGTCGAAACACACAAAGCTCGAGGCGTACAGCACGATAGCATGCGAAGTGAACGCGGTGAAACGGAAACGAAACGGTCTAGAACCACCAAACGTTTTGAAAGGATGTTTTCGAGGCCCGCTTGTGAAGCTGGAGAGATATCGCAGATGAGACAGAAGGGCGGAGAAACTGGAGGGAAATGGAGATTTCTAGAGGGAATGGAGGGGGGGGGGAGAAATGGACTAGCGAGGTGAAGCTATGAGCCGTCAAAACAAGCTGGTCGAGGAATGGACACAAGTAGTGGTGGAGAGATAGCTAGGAGCAGGCGTGCGTGAAGAGAAGGGAGGAGAAGCAAAGGAGAGGAAATTGGGGAAGACAAATGCAGACTGAGGATGGAGGAGAGGATGAATGAGGTTGTCGAGAAGAAGAAGTAAGGAGAGGAAGAAGTACATGTAACAAGTAGAAGTAGAAGAGGCGACAGATGGCCTGGCCCAGACCGGACCTGGGCCACGCGAGAGTTAGGCGAGAGTTAGGCGAGAGTTAGGCGAGAGTTCTGGCAAGGAGTCTGGCAAGGAGTCTGGCAAGAAGGAGTCTGGCAAAAAAGAGGGCAAAAAGAGGGCAAAAAGAGGCTAGCGAGCAAGTCTTGGCAAGCAAGTCTGGCAAAGTCTGGCAAAGTCTGGCACGAGCGGCGGCGGCAGAATCGGGCAGCACAGGCGGAGATCAGCGGGACGGTACGGTATCAATAATGGTAACTTATTGGTATGCAACAGAAACAGAAACACAACAACCCGGTCGTTCGGTCTACTCTATGGAGTATTATGTATGTAGTTCCTAGTAACGTACGTTTAACTAACTAGTTCCTCCTCAGCCGCCGGTCGTCGCTCTGTTCATTGCGATTTGGATACGGGAGTACAAATCATAAATTCCGCTGCAGCTAATAAAAATCTAAGAATAACAATAATCTGTCTTGTTTGTTGTAAGTCCCCCCTCCCCCCTTGGAAGAAGGAAGAGCTAGCATTTCTTCATGCACATTATTATTCTTATTATTGCGACTATCAGGATAAGCCTCGTTGCCGCCAGCCGCCCCTGCATCCCCCTAGGCCCGACAGAGTAACCCAGAGAGGTCTTCCGCCGGTGGATCATCGTGGCGGTGACTTAGGCTGCTGTTTTTGACTACTCCGTACGCTGTACCCGCAAGGGCCCGGAGAGGCTACTATTATTCTTATTTACTTACTCTGTACTCTGTACAGCGTACAGCGTAGTTATTCGCATGATTCGAGGGGTGGAGAAATATGTTGTTGTCTCTCCCTCTCCCTCTCTCTAGCTGAAATGTTGAAACGTTGTGCCTGTAATTATTCGGTTTACGTGACCGGTCGGCTGGCTCTGGCGGCCAGGCAGAGTTACCGAAACAAGCCGTCGAGACAGACCAGTCTAGATTTTCGCCCGCCCAGAAGACCCGCAACTGACACCGGTTCCGCCGTGGGGACATCAAAATTAAAGGGTTGTTTGTTATCTGTATGTGCTTTCATTATTATTATTATTGCTATGGTTGTTGTGGTAGCTGCTGCTGCTGCTGCTGTTGTTGTTTGTGTGCACTGCTCATTTTATCTTTATGTGTCTGTGTAATTTTGCATGGTCTGACTGGAGCTATTTTAATTATTGTTATTTATTTATTCTGATGTTCCTGTATGACAGTTTAAGTCTGTACGGAGTACAGAGTAGATATGAAGCAATGCACAGAATTATGAACAAAAAACATAAAAAGAAAAAGAAAGAAAAAATAGCAAAAGAAAAGCCAGCCACCAAGTAGCTTATATGCAGCGATGCCTTCTTTTGGTCTCAAAAAGCATGTTCACAGGTGCCAACCACATTTTTCAATTAACATAAAATACACTCAAAAGTCTAAGGGAAAAAAAAAAAAAGAAAAGAAAAGAAAAAGAAAAAAAAGAAAAAAAGAAAAAAAGAAGAAAAAAGAAGAAAAAACAACTTGAACTGAGCCGGAACCCAACCCAACCGAAACAAAACCTCTGGAACCGGAGATTGAAAGGGTAATCTTCGGTCGAAAGTGGGCAGCCAAAAAACATCCAACATCCATGGATGAACTTCCATCTTCTATCATCTATATAACATGGATCTCCCCGTCTAGCCCTTTTTTTTTTCGTTTCGCGGGAGGCAAAAGCAGTAAAGAGCTTTTAAACTCTCCCGCCGCTTTTTAGTTATATGCTTATTTAACACTATTAACCGCACTGACGGGGCTCCACAATTGTTATTTTTGAACTTTTTCTTTTTTCTTTGGTTCCCCCCCCGGACGGATACCTGATTTATTTTTTATATTTTTATTTTTCTTCCTTTTATTTCAGGGATAAATGCCTTGATATAATAATTGAATGGGTAAGGCTGGAGCATTGACATCTGTCAAAAACAATGTCTTGGTACTCTTTGCACTGCTGTCAAAATTGATTGGACTTGTTAACTAGAGTTAGTTAGTTACTGTTTATACAAGGATCTTTGCCCTCGGCAACCAAACGCCGTGAAGATACTTTTCCCAGACTTTTGCTTTTCAAAACCTTCCTTCCCATCATGATAGATAAGTTATCTAGCTAAGTATGGAGGAGGCGACATGACACTTGGCAGTGTTTTCGGAGGAGAGCTTCTACACGTAACTACTGTACAATGATGCTCACAATTCCTCTCATGACATAGCAGAACAGTAGCACCCGGAGATCACTTATCTATGACACGATGATGGCCTCTAGAAGCTCTCTAAAAATTTACGCCGTGGCAGATGACATTTGAAGAATCTCTACTCCGTATAGTAATGTACATCAACATCCGTCCGAGAGTCTCGGTGTCTTTGTTAATTCCTAGGTAGTTAGTTATATAAATGTGGCGTCGGCTAACTTTATACCCAGCTTCACGGCCTCAAACAGATGAAAAGTGAACAATAGTAGATTAGATATTCTACTCTCCTCTCTCCTCTGTCAATGTTAGTAGGTGGATGGTTGTATTGTACTGTATATCATCATCAGACCACGGTGTAAATATCAATGCCTAGAAAAAGACAAGAAGCAAATACAATTCAGAGCAACAAGATGAGAATATGAGTCTATCAGGCAGGTGACCAGGAGTTGAAAGTGCATTTCCAATTCCTCTACTCATAATCTTCCAAACTGTTAAATGTATAATGGATGTGTTTCCGGCACCTCTTATTATATCTTCCAGTGGTATACAGAGTAGTTTGAACATATATATTAATGCGGCCCTCTCAGACCGCCTATTGCTCCCCCACAGGCCATTCTACTCCCTACCAATTTCCTTTGGGATTCATTATTCAGAGCATACAGAGCATACATTACTGCCCTCAGGAATTCCAAAATTAGGAATGAGGACCGGAGTTGAACAGAAACAAGTTGACCAAATTGAACAAATCAGAGCTCTTTCTCCTGACTACGGAGTACAGGCTACATACAAGGCTACATACATTACTCACATGCTTACAAAATCCAGCGGGTTAATAATAAATAAAGTCCCCCTCCCCTCCCCCATGGAACTTCACAGTTTCCCACTTTCCACTTTCCCTTGCAACTTTTCATGATTGACAAGGTCTAGTCGCAGCAGCAGCAGACGCCGGTTTCGTCGTCGTCATCGTCGTCCCGACCCCACCCCGCCCCTCCATGCATCCATTATCAATCCCAGATTCTCCCCTGTTCCTGTGGGCGGGTATCTATTTCAACATATATGATATTTTGCCTCCCTGCCTGCCATTGCCATTGCCATTGCCATTGCCATTGCCATTGCCATTGCCAACTCCACTCCACTTCACTCCACTCCACTCTTAATAAGCATTAACAGGACAGGCCCAACGGGACCATGTAAGTTTTCAGGGAATGAGCTATGGCCAGGCGGGATTGTCTGGGAGGGAGGGCCAGCCCGCGTCCACCACATACGGAGCATAGAAGGGCTTCCAAAAAAGAAAAAAAAAAAAAACCTGAATTATGTGATACGAAACGACCCAGCTAGGAAGCTGGGAGTGGGATTGGTTTGTAAAATAAGATAAGAATAACTAGTTTATAAAAGAAAAAAAAATATAGATATAAAAAGATAAAACTTGGCAATGGCACGAGCTTCAATAAGCTTTGAAATGGAGTTAGGTTAGTTCTCTTTCGAGTCAAGTTGGAAGCGAGGTTCTGGCCGCAAATCGAACCTTGATAAGGCAATTGAATATATCTTCCAAGAATGACTCACCCAGCCTTTGCAAACTACTGCTTTGATGAGCCAAGCTTGTGAGGGTTTGTTGATATGTGCGAAATAATAGTGATGAGATTTTAAATACAATAGATTGCATGAAAGATTGTTATTTATTTATTAACTAGCAGTTGAGAGGTCTCTAGATAGAAGAAAGCAGAATAACTGGCCAATGAGGATTTTTCAAGGTCGTCTTTTTTTTTTTTTTTTTTTTTTTTTGCCACTCTACTCTACCAGGTCTATGCACAATAAAGAATTAGCAGGTGTTGTAACTACCTCAATAGATATGACCTTTTACTTCAGTAATCACTTTTGATTTTCCATGAATGCCGATGAAGTAAGGAATAGGAGGAGAAAAATTGATGGAAGTACTCCCAATAATACCTAGCCTGCAGCGGAAAAGCTCACACTAGAGGAGGATTTCAAGCGAACTGTCAATCAAGTAACTTACATTACAACAAAGTTTAGCTGAATGGAACATCGCCTGAATTGGAAGCGAAGCTCAAGCAACACTCATCTGATGAAAATGAGAGCTTGCGCTGTGATAAAAGATGGAAGGGTCTGAGCGAATAACCTGCTCAATAAGTCGATTTCACAGGTGGAAGCTCAATTCCTCTTCTACATCGAGAGGAAGTTCTGATCCACTTTGAGAGAGAGCAGCAGTCAGTTATGACAGGCGAAAAATACCTGCTTGTTATTTGATGATGAAGATGGCCGTTCTTCCAGCTTGTCATGCAACGTTCTCAACAAGCAGACGCACTATTGCTCATCTGCACTTGCGACCTCCCGGATGCATCCGGGGATATCGTTCTCTCAGCAATACGCAGTCAGCCAAAATACATGTAATTCCCAGCAGATATCTTTTTTTTGTCCCGGGCACCCGGCTCACGAGAATTTTTGATGCAACAAGGAAAAAGCAAACATGTCAAGCCCAAAGGGCAGATACGAAGCGAACAAGCGCACAGATCTCCTTTTGTTACATGGGTTCATCCCTGTTGCAGCCGCCGCCAACTCTCGGTTACTTCCGCTGCTGCTTCGTTTCCTTTTTCCTTTTCTCCCTCTTCATCCGCTGGACTTAACTCTCGTCCTCCTGGACCTCTTGTTTGGCGGTTCTTGATAGAGAAAATAGACGCACGGCACGGTGTGTTTTGTGTTTGTGTGTATGTGTGTGTGTATGTGTGTGTGTATGTGTGTGTGTGTGTGTGTGTGTGTGTGGGAGCCTAGCTGAGAAATTATGTCAGTGGCACCCAGACCTAGCGCAAGCATGCATCAACCGCCCGCATGCTCGGGACGGTTACGGTCGTGTACCTCGACCGACGACCAGCTCATCTGCATGAGGCACGAGCAGGTAACCAACCAGATCTTACAATCTGGCTCAGCTCGCCATTTGCTAAGAGCCCAGGGAGCGGGAGGAACAAGAGGAAAGAGGTTTGAACTCGTACCACACAAAGCGACGATGTTACCATGGCTGGGATTCAGCTTTTGCTTCACCGTGGATGTGGCTGCGGACACGGCGGTGAACCCGGTGATTTGCATTTGGTTCATGTTTGAAGACACGCCCTTTCAGTCGAAGACCGCTGGAAAGCCATATGGCCATATGGTCCAGGAGGGTACAGCATTTCGGAAGCCCACCTTTGCTTCTGATAAGCCCTCAGCATATCCAGGGGTGCGCGGCATACAGTACCATACTTGAAACGACCATGACCACCCATCGTACTGCCAAGAATCTAGGGTGCCTTTTTCCCGGGACACACGCCCCTCGCAAAGAGGTCGTCGGGGTTCGTCTTCATGAGAAAAACAATAATAATCGGTAACAATGAACAGTTGAAATACCGTGTCAAACCCCATGGATGGATAGAGTGACACAAAATTCCATCAAGGAACAAAGCGATGTGGCTGGGTATATGGCTCAAGATCCATTACTTAGCTTCTGCCGCGCATCCTCACTGTCGCCAGCTTCAGGGCTTCAAGTTCTTTTTGGGTGTGATGGTTCGCAAAAACATTTTTCAGGTCGCGAAGGCCAACGCTCCAGCCAATAATGGACTTGATATTTCATTTTTGTCCAGCCAAACAAGTGCGCTACTCTGGGAACTGAGGGGAAATGCACACATGATTCGCTAGATAATAAGATTTTGGAAAATCATCCATGGCAGCTGGTTCCTTGGACAGGCTAGGCTGTGTGGACTGATAGCTAGGCTGCGCTTCGCGTGTGCACCGGAGATGGCTTGGCTACAACCATCATCGATGCCAAAAAAGAAGCGCGCTCTGAACAGAGACCAGACCAACCGGAGCGACCATGTAAAATTGTCCAATTGTTGAGAAAGTGGGGGAAAGCCGTCGTCCCGTCGATCAGGATCCAGATCGCAACGCATGTGCGCCGCCGCGCGGAGAACGTTTACCGAGATTGGCGTCGCATCACCCTCACCTTTCCAGTTTATCGTTTTTTTTTTCCCCCTTTTTTCTATTTATTTTTATTGACCGTTTATGCAGGGTAATTGAGCCGACTCCATCAACCAAAATCGGAGGGCGAGGGGCGAGGGGAAGGGACGCGCAAGGCTGTATCTAGTTCACAGGGAACCTTGAGTAACTACCAATTAATGCCAGCCCTCAGCCCTCCGATGAGCCGAAGATGCGCTTGTTTCTTTCCCGATCAAAACACATCGTTTCTCCTCCACTTTCGTCATAAAATTTGAACCTAAATTGGTTTTGACGGCTGGGTTTCAATATTAGGAAATAGAGAGAAATTAATCTAGGGGTCAGCTACTGTACATCCATACCTCAAGATAAAACTAAAAAAGCGGTTCAAAGCTGGGAAACATGCGCCGCAGATCATCTATATCACTATTTTTAGTCTTGACGCTTGAGCAAAATGCCATTTGAGGTTTCAATGGAAAAGGATATAGACGGCCGAGCTCATATCCAATATTGGTCGGTCTCAGCGAGCGAGCGAACGAGAGCACCCTTTATCCCCTCTTCCCGCGTGATAGACACTATCATTGAAACTGCGTATACGGAGTAGTCTAGCAGACACCTTCAACTCCTCGAAAAATGTTCTGGTCTTTCCACGGAGATCCGCTGGAGTATCACAGATAACAGCTGAGCCATATACACCTTGATATGTAAATGAGCTAAATTCCAACTATGCATTCCCACTCCCATAAACCTCCCTCTCAGGCCAGCAATGCCCTTTTGAACCAATCGGGATTGGTCTGGCTTCGAGAATGCCGACTGATTAGGTTCATGTCGTGCCCTCGACTTTGAGCCAACGACACATGCTATCTAAAGAGCTGAGCTTATGGATGTTTGGCCGTGTGATACCTAGCCAAAGAGTCAGGATTATTCGGGGGTTCCCCGCCCCCCTACCACCGCAGCAACTATTCCTGAAAGTTGAAAATCCACCATCTGCGGGGCTGAAAAAAACTTGGTATCTACGCAATTTATGCACCACTAAGCTACATCGCAGCCCCCATCCATCCTCATGCATGGTACATACTTACTCTCTCTGAAGTGTGGGTTGTTGGGGATATGATAAGATGAGATGATCGCGGAGAGGCCTAGCGGCCGGCCCAGATGCTCTTTCATAGATGAACGGATATCATTATCATTTCATCTTGCATGGCTTTGCTTTGATCGGAGCTAGCCTTCTGCTTAGTAGGCGCCCTAGCATGCAGTTTTATCTCTCACACGTAATACCCAGCTCAGAGAAGAGGTTGTAGAAAAGTCCATGGCCGGGTCTATCGGTCTATCTGGCTAGTTGACCTAGTGCGCTCGTTCTCCTACAGCGTGACTAGGAATGTATTATCCTGTCAGTAACCATGTATGTACTGACTGTACTGTACATGGTGATTGGAAACAGGTATCGCGGTATAGATAGACGGGGCACTGTTTCAGGGTGACAAAAGAGGGTGGGTGCCCTTGTTTATCATATCCAGGCTGAAACGCTGCGGGAATGGAACGGGAGGAAACAAGATTGAAGTACTCTAGTCTATAAACATTGGCGTGTATAGTTAATGTTCTAGATTCTTCTTCAGGAGGGGGCGTAAAGGACAAAAAGCGGGTTTCGTCTTCATCACTGTTCGTCGCACCCGGATCTTGATCTCTTATCACCACAGCTTTAATCAAATGTATAACAAACTGGGTTCATTCTGCGCTTTCTCACTAATCCATCTGCAAGAGTAAAGTTAATCCACACGAATATCAACCTTGGAGTCGTCATGTGTTTGTAATAATAGGAAGATAGAGCCCTTCTGCATAGGTATCACGGAAGTATAGACGGAGTTCAGTGGACAAAAAGCACACCCATCGTCAAAAAATTGACCATGTAACTCTTTCACTTATAATAGAGAGAGAGGTAGGTAGGTTGGTATGGTACCCGGCTTCAACATTTCGGTAGTTCGTCAGCTCGTAGATCGCCAGGGTCGGAGAAATAACAGGTTAGTTATATATCCGTGTGTAAGAAGAAAAGAATCGGATTGCACACCTATTTTTCATTCTCACAGCTCTTTGTTTGGTTCCATGGCGGCAAAGACTCGAATCCGGCGCAAAACTCGTTAGTTCAACTAAATAACTTACTTAACTATTGTGAAAACCAGCATATCAACCTTATTTTTATAACCTTAAACTATTTATCGCAATCTATTTCTGATATAACTATCTATGTATGTACATGTACAGCAACCTATATGGCTTTACATACATGTACACTATTTGCGTTGGTATGACACATTGCAAATGACTTTAATACCTCGAACAAAAGACCAGTTAAAAAGAAGTCAATACCCCTGGTCTTCAGCTGAATAGAAACTTGGCTTACTCGGTCTTTAACTATCGAACCAAGTCTCAGCGATTGTTATTTTTTTCCGTCAGCGTTAAGGTAAGCGAAATGGCGATATCTGAGCATATTGCATGACTGGCTACTACCAGTGCTGGCCGTTTTGTTCGTTGGCTGAGATGCCATCCGGAAAAAAAAAATAGGGGGGAATGCGATTGCGATTGCGAGCGTTTATTCGGATATATATTTCGAAGCCTCTGCGAGTCCTCAACGTCATGGACTATGTAAGATCTAGGGCTGAGGCCTGTGTGTGTGTGTGTGTGTACCTGAATGATTGAGGTACGATTCTGCGGTAATGAGATCAAATTCAAGGCTCCCCAGGATGACAACAGTGTCTGTCCCGTCTCTACGCGTGCTGACTGTCTTTGCTCTTTTATTTTAACTCCTTATCGTCCATCGTTTCCATTATGTATCCCTCTCTCTTGATTGTATTTCTGCAATCTATCCCCCTGCGCGCTCGTTTCATCTTCTGTTCTTCAGCAGAATTGCATGTTCCTACAAGGATTCCTGGGGATCTGTTTGCTAAGAAGCTACAATTGAGCCGGGGGTGGTTGAATACATCTATTTCAGTCGTTCCTTAATCAGTTTCGATACCCTGGATTCTCATCAATTGCTTCTTCTATAGCTTATCGAGAATCGAACACAATGTGGAACCGTAGCTCTTCCTTCGGAGCTATGATGGGGGCATACCTATGGCTACTATTGCCGGTACATAATATCTCTGCAATATCGAAGCTCTCTGCTATAGGCTCAAAGTTTTTCAATGAGGAGGGCCAGCAGTTTTTCGTCAACTATCTCATTGATGAGCTGATGCTAGCTTTTTGACTGATAGAAATTGCGTACCGGCTCACTCTTCACGATCCCCTTGTGGACCCCGAACAGTGCAAACTGGACTCTTCATTGATGAAGGAGCTGGGTGCAAATGCTATACGCGTCTATCATGTTGACCCTAATGGAGATCCCGATGAGTGCATGAAAGCGTTGGCGGATGCAGGGATATACTTGTTTGTGGACTTGGATGACTTTCCAACCCAAATTGAAGAGGTATATTCCATTAACTAGCAAGATTCCAGGGAATAAGTTGTACATAAGAGATCTTTACTTGGTAGACCAAAAAGCGCTGACAAATTATCTAAATACCCCTTGTGCCAAATTAGCAATCCCCTATTTGGAGTCAGAAGCAGGTCGACGCGTTCAAATTGACCCTTGACGAATTACAGAAGTACGGAAACACGGCCGGAGTTTTTGTGGGCAGCGAGGTTTTTACCGTAGCGAATGACTCCGCTGCAAGCCCGTATTTCCTAGCTGCGGCTCGAGATATCGGGGCCTATCGCGACTCGAAGGATTACCGGCTGGTTTGCCGGGAAGATGAATCTGAAAGATTAGACTCCTTTGCCTCAACACGTACGAATGGTGCGGTGAATCAACATTTGAAATCTCCAGCTATGCCAACCTGCAAAACCAAGCAGCGGGATACCCGGTTCCGATTTTCTTTTCAGAAACTGGCTGCAACACGGTCCGACCACGAGATTTCGACGACCTCAATACCATCCTTGGGCCGGAAATGACAGGCACCTGGTCTGGCGCATTGGTGTACGAGTGGATAGAGGAGTTGAATAACTACGGGCTAATCACCTATGGCAAGGTGCCCGAGGGCGATACATCTAACCCTTCAGCCCTCGACGGCTTCTCCCGTCGCGGCACCCCCACCCCTGTCAACCCGGACTTCACAAATTTGAAATCCCGTTTCGCTACTTTGGATCCCACCGGCGTTGCGCTGTCTGATTACTCTGACAGGGCATCGGAGGTTACAGCGCCGCCCTGCCCCAATTCCACTCCTATTTATTGCCTGGGCCGTTTATCCTAGCGCTGACCTACCGACCCTTGGACAGTCGGTCGGTGCTGGTCCTACTAATCTAACTGCGTCCGGAGGAAGAGCGGCCAGTCCTACATCATCAAACTCCAGTGCTGGGAATCGGTAGATGTCAATAGGTGGATATAGTGTTTGGTGAATGTAGGGCGAGAGTGACGGACTTATCATGAAGTGATACTTCCGGACGACCTCTCTGAAAGGCGTTTCTTTTGATTTAGACTTCAAGGGCTAAGAGAGGGGGATGTTTAAAATCCATCGTCGTATCTAGAGATCTATCTACTCTCTGTTAACGGTATGCCTGCAGTTTTTTATCTCACCAGGCTTAAGTAGACTATAATGTATCCATGATATTTTGATAGAACTTTCGGCTGAAATATAGTTAACAGAAATGTTCGCGGGCAACAGTTTACTTAGAAGCACTTTGGCTACGATGTTTAACCAACTACCCCTGACTACGCATTGTAAGAGTCTAGATACACGAGCTGCGTGTTAAGAAGGTCCATAGTCTCCCAGCATTTAACATAAGAGTTCCACTAGGCAAACATCAGATAGGATACATTGGAACCACAACCACGAGAGATAAAAGAAGCACAGCACGTACCAAGAATGCGTCACCTGCATCTCTCTAGCCTTCCTCGTCCTTGGGGGTTTCAGCTGCATTCTCGAATCCGGCCTATCCCCAAATTAACTTCTGGCTACTCCGCATAATCCAACCAGACCCAACGAAGTAAACCTAGCTAAAAACAAACAAAAAGTAATAGAATCGTAAATGGCAATGTGAAATTAATAAAACCCACTTCACTACTGATGGCATGGTAGAAACCCATTGGCATCGCCCTCCTGGCCTTGATCCGTTGGCTCGTGATGCTGCGGTACATCCAGCCTTCATTGATGTCGTGAAAGGAGCGGCGTCTGGCAAATTCGTCATGAGCTTCTTTTTGCTCCATGAGTTTGAGCATCTATATATGTTGAGTTGTATTTGGAGAGAGGTCCCGCTGGTTAGTACATATACTATTATATCGAACGTCATTTCTTGCGGCCCCCCCCACCCCGACCCCCTATCCTTCAACGAACTATTTCAACATTTAAGAATTTCCAAACAATAATAGAAAGATGGAGAGGTGGGTTACCGACGTGTGCAAATCGAGGCCCATCTTCATTCCACTCCGCCGGACAGTTCCTATACTCGAGCAGACAACTCCTGAGCTCCTTCTCATGGGCCGCGCTCCAGGGACGCCGCGCTCCATCCACCGGCCCCGTAATCTTGGTCTTGCGATTGGGTAGAAGCGTGTTGTGTGTTTTTCCGGTAGCCTCATTCGCCGCTCTGGGCTCTTCGGCTTCATCCTCGTTTCCGGGATTGATGATCGCGTTGTTCTCGTACTTGAACGGTGTCTTTCTGTCCTGTTTGCTATTGCTATCTGGATGACGTCCTTCTATGCGATGCAACATGTCAGTCACCCACTTCTCTGCAGTCGCTTTGTAGTTGACTTGACTCATGGCTTCACAGCGATTGGGGTTTTTCTCATCAGGCATATCTTCAAAGAAATGATCTTTTGTCAGAATTTTTTGCTCGGAAAAGTGATCTGCTAGCTGTGTTGACTCACCTTTTGTTTGCTCTGCCCAGGACATGACTTGTTTACTTGCCCCTTGAAAGAATGAATGAAGAAATGAAGCTGGAAGAATGAGTAACTGAAATATGTTCACTTTCCAATCTGAATGAGCAAAAGAAAATAAAATACCAAGCTGTTATGAAGAAGAGAACAAGTAGAAAAGGAAGAGAAGATATCTTTCTCTGCATGGAAGTTATAAGATGTGGCCACTCTGAGATTCTCACTTAGAAGCAATCATGTTCATTGCAATTAACACAGCTTCTTCTTAGGTCATCCTCTGACTCATGTATTCACTCTGATCTTAATGAAATTTTAATACTGTTACATCAAGAGAACAGACAGTGTGGTTGATGAGTATAGGAAAACAACAATTAGGACAAAGAAAGTATAGATGTATTGTACACAAGTACTGTACAATATAAATTTTGCTTACACATCTAGCAGACAAGCAAAGATATGATCATGATCAGATAGATATCTTCGATAGTGACCCCATCGGGTCTCAGATACTCCAACAAGTACACACACATCCAAGTGCTTATGAGCTCCATGGAGAGCAAGAAGAAATGAAGATACTGAAAAGGTTGGATGGAAAATAAAATAGTTGCACCGCTAATTCTCCATCAAAAAAAAAAAAAAATCCAAGTAGTAAACCCATCAACCAAAAAAATGCTCATAGGGTTGTCAAAAAACATGGAAACGCCGGTAACACCAAAAGCTTAAAATCCGATAATCGAAAGATAAAGCCAAAAATAGGTCGCTGATCAGGCATGAAATAATGCTGCGCGATTGGCATAAACCAACGGCGGAGGAAGCGGGTGGTGGAAATGTAGTCCAACACAAGAGACAACGGAATATCCCAAAAAGCATCAGCTATGACAGACAACTCCTTCGCGCGGACTTCACTATTTACTAATTTATCCATGTCGGCCTGCTAGCTCAAGTTGATGGTCAAGATCCATTTTCCGCTCCCGCCTCACCTGCTCACCTACGATTATGCTGAACAGTCTCCTCAAAAGCTCTGTTTCACTCCATTCCACTTTTCCCGTCCCACCACGCCTCCTACTGTCCACAGACAAGGCCCGTCGAAATTTATCCACAATGGCAATCTGCATCTCGGTAATGCGACGGCTGTATACGCCATCAGCAGAATATATGCGTTGACCTAGCATTCCATTTCGATCTGGAGTTTCGATATAGCGGAAGGAACCTGGAGAGCGCTTTGCCTTGTGGTATAAGTGGCGCAATGCGGCATAATGGTCATCCGTAAAATAACCCGAGATTGCTAATGCTTTGCGTTGCGAAGGGGGTTGCCTTCTAATTTGCCGTTTAGGCTTCGTTATTGGTGGCGAGGAGAACTGGGTTCCGGTGTCGACCATCGTCCTCTTGATGGGTTGATGAGGGCGCTGATGGACTAGAGGCTCCTCAGCTAGAGATTCACGTGCTGGTGGTTCTTGCAAAGGAGAATCTTGAGCAAGTGGTTCACCTACTGGCGATTGCTGAATAGGAGAGCTCTCAATTGGAAGCGGCTGCGCTGGTGATCCCGAAACCGAATATCTTTGAGTAGGAGAAGACATTTGAATTGAAGAGCTCTCAACTGACGGCTCACGGTTTGGAGATGATGGAGATGCAGGGTTGCTGATTGATTCTGGTTGCTTTCTTTCAACTTTCCGAGAAGCTGGAGTAGTGAGCCACGACGGAGCAAGGTCAGTCAACTTGTGGAACCAAGATGACGGACGAGGCTCCTGCTGAGGTTCAGTAGGAGATTGCGACTGAATGGTAGAAGGTTCCTTATCATGTTGATAATATTGGAGCGCCAGAGGAGTTAAGTTTGGCGATTCTGTTTCAGAGTAAATTTCCTCCTCAGCACCTGGGCGGTTTCTCGAAGAATGAACAGAGTTGGACGGCAATTCTGGATATAGATGGTCATCCTCCACTGATGGCTGAGAATAAACGTCGCCGTTATCCGGACTCGTCTGTCTCGTTTCATTTTTACCGCTTTCAGGGGACGGAGCCCATTGGGGATGGATAGCATCAGCATCAGACACCTGGTCATCAGAGTATGGTGATTCGTTTCTGCCATAGGAAGCCGCGAAGGTAGGAATGGTGGTACTTCTCATTGGCCGTTGATCCTCAGGATATTCAGGCTGGCTGCTCGCGTTTTCAGGAGAAACATTATTTTGCTGATAAAATCTCCTCGTGGCGCTTTCCGGAGAACCCAGTAGTGACGAACTCTCAACGTTCTGTTCTCTGAATTTTGCAGTTTCGGTTTTCCCTCTGGGTAAAAGAGGATATAAATTGGTGCGGTTTGCCCAATACGGGCCCGGACCGGGAGTCGCTTCTTCGTCTTGGCTGTGGTCAGCAACGTCCACGTTGCGTTTCCACGGACTTGGAAGAACCCTCCGTGGCGGTTTAATAATTTCCTCTCGACTAAGTTCGACGAATGACGCTGACTCCGACTGGCTTTCAACCTCGCGGGCTTCTTGCTGCCATATGTCCTCGTAATCTTCCTCTTCCATAGGGTTGTCTTCATGGTGTTCCTCAGGCTCTTCATTTCCTAGAGGACGTCTTTCCGGACTACCTTCGTCGCTATCAATAACAATAACCTGGCTCGAATTTGCCTGCTGTATTTGGCGGCTAATGATCTCTCTTTCACGCTGCCACTGTGCTTCACGTCGTGCCATTTCCGAGCCAAGCCGTAGCTGGGGTGACTGATTTTTGTTACCGAGACTACTCATAAGTTGTGACTTCCCGTCCAGTTCCCTATTTGAGTGTTTTTTCACTGAATGTGAAGATGCACTTCTACTCTCCGCATTGCCAATACCCGCGTACCCCGCGTCGTTGCGCTCATTAGCTGCGAAGCCATCTGGTGTCATTGGTGAGTCAACTGCTGGTCCTGGTTCTTCCCGCTTTTTTCTACTCTCAGACTCCTGAAGGCGGTTCGCAAGCTGTTCCCCAAAGCGAAGTCCTGCACGTAGTTCTCGTTCTGTCTCGCTTCCAAAACCTCTAAAGAGTGCATCGAGACGTTGCCTTACAGCCTCGCGATCATCTCCGCGAGTCTGACCCGGGCTTGAGAAGGGACTTTGGAGCCTCGAATTCCTCCTACGTCGATTAAGTACACCCTGAAGTGCAATACCTGCTCTTATTACTCGGACTAACTTGACGAGTCGTGTCTTTTTCGGAGGCCGCGAGGGCTGAATCGCGGGTGCACGCGGCTGCTGTGAGGATGGAAATATAGTTCCTGGAGTTTTATTGTTTCGTCGCGGACTTCTTCTCACCTGTTGTGATAACTGTGATGTTTGTTGAGGCTCTGAAGAGGGCATATACGCATCATCCTTCTTGGGAATGCTAGAAACAGATAACCCGCCATGTCGAGATTCAGATTTCGACTTGCCTAGCACTTCCTTCTTCGGCGACTTCTTCATGCTGTTAATCATGCCCTGATTCACAGCGTCTTGAAATGAATGATTTAACTGCTGCCTCGCTGATGGCAAGGTGCCAAGTGACACCATGCTAAATCCTTCGCTTTCTAGAATCGAGTCGAATTCTCGATGCTGGGTTGTTGGGTCTAGAACTGATCCGCTTTGTTGGTTTTTTGCACCTGAAGAGTCACCCGTTTGGATTTCGGCAATCCCTTCTTCTAATAGAGAAGATGAAGTAGGTGTAGGATATCCTCTCACCTGGGGACCAGGAGTATGCCCAGCATCGATTGTGTTTTCAGGTGTGAGGCCGGTAGGTTTTCCGGGGGAGTATGGGGAGGACATAAAGCTCGCAGGATTATCAGGAGCTGAGCCCTCCACTCTGGATCGAGAATCAGGTTGTTGTGACATAGTTCTCTCCGTGGGCGTTGGAGACGATCTATGATCACTGGTTGAAAGGATAAAGTCGGGCAAAGGGTTCGGGTCAGCAGTATCGGCGAGTATGTTATCTACAGCAGTATTATTGGTTCCTGAATCTTCCGTAGCAATGTCGAGAAAAGGATCCTCTTCTCGCATCTTCTTTCGCACTGACTCGGCAAAAGTGACTTTGTTCACCACATTGCTTCCTTCTACAGAAGGCTGACTTTTCCTGGGCCTTCCTCGTTTTCTCTTTTCAGCAGTTCCCGTATTTCCCGTCGGTGTTTCAATCCTGCTCCTTATTTTTCGGGGTGTTGGAACACGTTGCGACAAGTCCGATTTCCCTGTTCGCCGCTTTTTAGGGCTTGGCTCCAGTGAGTCATTTTCATCCTTCAAGGGCACTTTGGTTGTCCTTCCTCTTCGCGATTTCATACCCGATCGCACACTACCTGGAAAATTTTCATCCGCCTCATCCTGCTCTGCCTCGACCGTAACTCGGATCCTCCAGGGGCTGGTATTATTCTCCGAATTTAGGGTCGTCGTTTTCGTTGGGGACAGCCGATGTTTGCCACTAAAACGTCCAGACGGAGTGGACGGAAGGATGATATCTTGGAACCTAATGGACTGCGCGCTCCTCCCGTCTGCTTTGCTGGGTGATAGGCGTCTGGTAGGTGACAGGGACTTGCGGGGTGAAAAGGTGCTTTGGCGTCGCAGAAAGGGCTTTGTTGCCGAGGATAGGATATATTCTGGGTCGCCGGGATAGCCCAGCGGATCTGGGGAGGATGTATCACTCCTGTAATCCATCGCGACTTATGACTGGCGAACTTGACGGGTTCATTAGGGAGATGTGGAGGCCGGAAATTGGGTGTTGCTCAGGCAATTGGGGTGTATCGGGTACGGTGTTGGGTAGGGTAGGGTGCCCAGGATATCGAGGACCAGCTACTCCATCAGGGCAAGATATTGTAAATCACAGGTGCAGGTATAGGTCACTTTAAGTCGTAAGGGAAGATATGCCATTGGCATCGAGTTGGTTGGTCGATACCGTTATCATGCCGCTGTCCCTCCAATGTTTTGATCCTCTTGCGCCGGGAAACGAGGGGACTTTGCCTCTTTGGGAACATGGTCCGTGCGCTGTGTTTACGACACTTCGAATAACGGAAATACTATGTTCCGAACCAAGACAATAACTAATAAGTTGCTGCACGCGGGAGAGCTCCAGCGCCAAAGAAGGAAATTAGTGGGCCGCTATTTTATGCTTGTTTTTCCAAACCATAAATCCAAACCGGAACCTTGGAACTTTCAAGGTTATTCAAACATCATCTTCAATTTTGAACTATATATTTCTTTCATATTTCTTTTATGCCCTATATCGGAGCGACAGCAGTATTCCAGCGCGTCTGGCCCGGCAACCCTGGACATGCAACCTAGTTTTTCTCCGCAACAAGGAATCCAGCGACTGCCTTTCTGGAAAGCTGTAGATCGTCCTGCCCAGCCAACGATTTTTCTTAGACATGATGACGATCTCAATTGCAGAGTGACGAATGTTATCGTTTGGCGCATGGGTCCGCAGCTGCGCTTCGGCTGCAGGTGGAGTTTACTCAACGTCCCCAAGTTTTCCAGGACGACGGGCAACATATCTCAAATCATCCTGGACTAGCTGCTTGCTTGACAGTCAGAAAGTATACATTTCATCGCATCTCACTTCATTGGAGAGAGCCGAACAAAAACGGGGACGTAGCTCGGTTACAGGAATCAATATCCAGGAAAAGAAAACTAGATCGAAGTTGTAGGTCCAGTACCTTCAACGAAAACTCAGATTGCACACTGCTCTGTCCAAGGTACAAGGCAAAATTCGACCAGTGACTCCCAGGAGGGCACCTGCATGTTAGTAACATCGTTTTCACGCAGACTTTTGGATTCCCATCTCGAAGCTTTCTCCAATCTGAGTTCAAGCTCCCCCCCCTGTTTCCGGGAAACACCCAATCACCACTCGACCTCGTCGCTAAGCATTTCCTTTCCGTGGTATCCCTGCTGCGCGGTAATGTCACTAAGTTAACTGAGATTCATGTTCCCCGCGTGGGAGTGGGTGATGGCACGCGGGAATCTATAAAATAATCCGGTCCTCCTGCTCTGCTTCTTACCTGTTACAACCTCTTCACAACACATTTTCACCACCTACAGAATCTTAGCCATCATTATCACTTGTCTTATAGCCGCACCAATGTATTTCAATCCAGCCGCTTTACTTGCGTCGGCGCTGCTATGGGGTTCCTCCCTGGCAGCGTCCTATCCTATTACTTCTCCAGATCCGTTTAAAACTTATGTCATTTCCGCGCAGAACATTCAGGCGACATTAATTCCATATGGCGCCACCCTGACTTCACTTTTAGTCAACGATCGGGATGGCAAGCAGCAGGATGTTGCCGTCGGTTACGATGATCCTAAACAATATCTAACCGATACCAAGACCAACCATACCTACTTTGGCTGCATCGTAGGAAGATACGCCAATAGAATCAAAAACGGCTCCTTTGAACTAGACGGTGTTAAGTATCCCATTACCAAAAACGAAAACAACGACACCCAGACTCTCCATGGAGGTGTTGTTGGGTATGATCAGCGTCCTTGGACCGTGGTAAATCACACTGAGACCTCCGTTACCTTCAGTCTCCTCGACACTGGCTTTGAAGGTTTCCCTGGTGACGTTATCACATATGCCACCTACAGCGTCGGTTCATCGTGCTCTAAAGAAAAGACGAAATGCGGAACCAAATTAACTGCAAAAACCGTTTCTCTTGCCTTGACGAAGAAGACACCTATCATGTTGGCACACCACATTTACTGGAATCTAAATGCGTTCAAAAGGCCCAACGTGTTGAACGATACTACCTTGCACCTGCCGTTGTCAAAACAATTTATCTACATCGATTCCGCGGCGATCCCAACAGGCAGGCTCGCAGACACCGCAACGACATTCGACGGTGCCCTTGACTTCACTCAGCCGAAGCTCATCGGCAGAGACATCGCCTCGGCCAAGAATTGCGGTGCCAACTGCACAGGGTATGACAACGCATTCATCATCGATCGCCCAGTTAATGAATCAGACTGGACCTCGTCCCCTGAAACTATGGCTGTCGCTCTGAACATGGCTTCCAGTACCTCCGGCATCAGCATGCAAGTTACCACGAACCAAAAGGCCATCCAAATATACAGTTGCAATAATCAGGATGGGACAATTCCCGTCAAGAAATCTCAGGTTCACCGGAATAAAATGGAAGGCAACAAAGAGAGTGTAGACGTTATTAACCAATACGGCTGTATTGTTATCGAGACCGAGAGCTGGATTGACGGCATCAGCAACCCTAAATGGGGCCAAGACAACTTCCAGATCTACTCTCTCGACACCGGACCAGCCGTGAACTGGGTTACTTTCGCTTTTGGAAATGTTTGAAATGGATTTTGTGAAATCTAGGACTCGGGGTTTTAAACGGGCCAACCAGATTTTAGGCCGAAAAGGGGGTAAAGGTTATCCTTTCACAATATTTCCTTGGTCCGTTTCCCACGTGTTTTCTCCTGTTATTTCTGGTCCTTATCCCTTTTAATTTTCCGCTGGTTTTATTTTACCTGTTCCTTTAATTGGCGCCGTTGTGCACTTTAATTCTTAATCAACCTTATCTATCATATAGATAGATACCTACTTCTGTATCGATAATTTCCTTTGTTCCCTTCACCCGGAGGTACTCATGATCGATGGCGCTGTTTCGAAAACAAGGGAGAAAAAAAAAAAAACAATCAGTATTTAATTTGTATATAGGGAGCAAAAGCAAATGTAGCGTTTTAATACACAATGATATTTTCATTATATTCCTATCCCTGAAAAGACCATTCCGCAATCACAACGCCCGCACATAACCTTCTGAACAAAGCCGTGGATGTTCTAGAATAGTGGCAGCTTTTGTGCTCAAGACATTAAGGAAAAGGAGAAAAGTTTCAGGTTGTCTCCACCCCATACCCTTTGTCATCGCTCCCCTCCCTCCTTTACCTCTTCGTTCCGTTCCGTCCTTCTGCCCTACAAAGGAAGAAGAGCATACAAAGGTGTAATTTCGAATGGGATCCCGATCATCTCCATTCAACACCAAATTTGTAAAGGAGCATTGTATCTAAGCTTTAATTTCGGGCTGAATACTCGACTATGCTGAAATAGGTTGAGTTAGGTTTTGGTTAACCATATTGAAATGTGGTCTCCAAAAACCAAATACTTGTTTTTCCCTCTACGTGTAGGAGTCATAGTCACAAAACGTATTGGGAAACTCATCGTCTCGAGAAAGAGTTCTAACCATGTCATGGAAGGGCCCTTGTGTCAGCACCGGTCGGTAGATTGAAGGGTGTTAAAAAATCAAAGCCATCCAAAACCCGACAACCAAAATTCTGAGGCAGACAACACCCAGAAGCGCAAAGCAAAAGGGAAAGAGTGGCAGAAAACATACATAAGAGGATCACTATCCAAAGCGTTGCTCATCATTAATTTCCTTTTCAATTCCTTAATTCTTTCAACTTCCTGCCGGTGGAAATCCTGGAAATTTTCAAGCAGTTTCAGCCAGTCCTCAGCCGCTTGCATTCGCTCATAATGTTTCCTAGCAATACACTCCATGCCTTCCGGAAGTTTGGTGCGTGGTAATAGCTCGACCTGTTCATTGCAATGTGCTATTTCAATCGCTAATCGCCCTATCTGACCTAGATGATAGTTCGCGATTTCCTCGAGCTTGATCTGATCATTGGGAAGGAGGTCAACCTCGTTGGAGGTGGGAGCGCATTGGCGTGTTTCTTTGCCCGAGGCTGTAGTTGCAGTGCTACTACGGCTGAGGTCTGAATTTGAGAAAATACCAAGAGAGAACCGTTTGGATGCCCGATTTGAATTTCGTGGCTCGTGAAGTTGGCGAGAGGAAGGTGATGATACGGAGCGGAATGTCCGTATCGAAGAAGTCATCATGAATGTTTAGTCCAATAAAAACGGGACAGGTCGATAAGAATAGGGTTTGCAACACATTTCATGTTAGATGAAGATATGCCAAATAAATTCGCTGCAGGAAGGAAGAAGGGAGACTGAGGAACCGAAGAACAAGAACAGCCTTGAGATACTTTGAGACTGCTTTTAGTATCAACAAGGCAGGTGCATGCTTATAATAGGCTGACTGAAGGTATATCAAACTTGAAAGGAAATCACAATTGCCTTGTTGCCACAAAACGCTGGCCTGTTGTTGAAAGGACAAGAGTACCAAGGCCTCAGAGGGATGATACTGCTTTAAAGAAATGTCCAATTTCTGAAACTGGAAACAAAGAATTGCACCTAACCCAAGTTACATTCACTAGCAGGGTATTCATATACTCCAAGATAGAGTGGCATGGTAACGAGTAGTGAATATTAAATGAACAACGCCGTGGTATCGTCCCAAGCCAGGATCGAAGCCGGTAGAAAAATTAGGAAAAACAAAGTAATAAGCCCAAAGATCGTACCCAAAGCCAGATCCTACCTTTCAATATCTTCAGAACGAAAAGGTAAGAAGTGCTTAACATCCTCCACGTATTAACCCCATTCACCGAGTGTCCAGCTTGACCTTTCGACACCTGATCTGCCTATACCTGGCCCATATCCGGATCGTCGCTCTGCAATGTGGGTTAGGTCAGAGTCGCGACTTGCTCCCGCAAGACCGTGCTGTAGGAACTTGTCTCTTTCAATTTCCACGATTCCTTTGACCTTGAGGCTGGCTACAAGACTAGCTCCTGCCCAGGACCCGAGAGACTCAACCTGGCGAAGAACCCCATGCATATATGGTTTGGCATCCCTGTTGGCACGTTCCAGCTTTTCGTCAACGAAATTCGTAGCCGACTCTGACTGAGTATCTCCTTGGGTGCTTCTATTCGAAGCAGAGCTAACCGGCCGTTGTTGGTTCATAGAAATTTCCTGAAGCTGCCCCCGGCGTTTGTTAACATTCTTCCCTCTAACGGGGTCCCAACCATGGCTCCCTATAAGGAACTCCACCTCGTCCATTATTCTTCGACGAATACCTGGAATATTCGAACCCCCGCCAACAAAAATGATGCGCGACATGCATGCGCCGCGGATATCCGGCGGAAGAGCAAGGAGGGCATAATAGACTAAATGATCAAGAGGCATTTCATCATCATCGAGGTTTCTTGCATCAACGCCTCCAGCAAACAAAGCTTCCTCAACCGGTTCAGAAAATTTGGCGAACGGGACATTCATGTCAGTGGTAGCATCGCCTAGTTGCGACGGCAAAGTGACATTGTAATCGTATAGCTGTGAATCTTCTGGGCTTGGGAAAGACTCCTCAGAGATCCTTTCAGTGGGCTCAGTATTTCCCTTATTTTTGCACCAGGCTAACCGCGTCACTATTTCCTCACACCATTCAAAGCTCACCGCGATTACATCATCATCCCCATTGTTATTATCGGATTCGTGTTTCTTTCGCGAGTTTTCTGCTAGACTTGTAAGGAAGGAACCCATTTTGCGCATTAGAAATTTCATAGCACGAGTGCTTCGTTTCGACTGAATTTCTCGATATTCATAAAGTCCAGTAACTGTGGTCTCCTCCCATCCAATATCAACAACAAGTGCAGCTCTTAACCCTGCCGAAATAGCCGCCATGGCTGCAGACGGCAGTAAAGTTATGCTAGGATATCTCCAACGATTGAATATGGTTGATAGGAGACATGAGAGAAGCGGATGAGGGACAATTGGCGGCAGCACAATAACCAGCCGCGAAGAGCCCGCGTCTGTGAGAAGATACTTGTTGTAAACTTCACGGACCGTTCGCTCCACTTTATCCTCAAATAGCCCAATGTCAAAATCTCGGATATCCATGCTCCAAAGCTCGTAGCTTTTCGACCATTCATCCACATTTTTGTGGACTTTACTTGAATTCGTTCCCTCATGCCCACCGGTTCTTATCCATCCCCTATAATCCCCGACTCTTCGTCCTCCCTCCGGACCAAAGCTAACGACACATATTGGGGAGTTGTCGCCTTCGAACCCGGCACGGAGATACCGAGATCCCAACTCAAATATCACCGCATCTTCTTCGTGCCGAAACGACGACCCAGGAGAGGTAGAGCCCGTGTATGACGATAGTATCTGTCGCTGCTGCGGTGTATGCGGAGACCCATGGTGTCGCCCTTGACGGAGGCTTGATCGAACTGTGGCTGTAGAGGTAAGCGACTGTCGCCGGTCGAAGCCTGATGAAGAGGAAGCAGTAGCCATTATTAATTGCTCTTTAACCAATGTTGCGGAAACAAATATAGTTTGTTTATCTAGATGTTTATGCTTTCTTGGGGGAGCAAAGAAAGGGTTTGAGCATCGTTCCTTTCCGGGTTGGGTTCATCGTCATCATCACCGCACCCCAATCGTACTGGGTCCTGAAACAATGTGTAAACGCAGTCCGTAAGCTAGCTAAAATTGTTACGCGGTAGACACGGGCTCTCTTCAGAGGTTGTATTGATTGATGTCTCTTATCTCAGTAAACTCAGCCACTCCACTCCGAGCTAACTCAATCCGAACTACTGCTACTTTCTGCCAAGTCCTGCTAACATCTGAGCCAATCAACTGTCACAGGGCTTACACTAAACCTAAATGGGACATCCCCAGCAAACTCTTCGCGGAGATATTAGGTTGCGAGCACGTGTGAAGTCTCTTATTGGTCCAGAAGTTAGCAGGACTTGGCAGAAGTCTAAAGGAGTTTAGTTGGTCGCGCTAATCCGAAAATATCGAGAAGAGAGGCTGAGCATGCTGAGATAAGATGTCTCTAAGATCTTGGTGGGTTGCATATCACGTGATAACGCGATGAGGCTTGACACCGAACCATCGCCAAAACACGAACAGCTGAACGACATGCGGAAAGGCCTGAATCCACTCCGCTCAATCATAGGAGGTACGAAAGTACCTCTGTCCGGGATTTTTGAATGGGAATTCCGGGGTAAGTCATATTCCCAGGGTTAACTGTTGGAAGAATCGTGCGTACTGATGGATACTTGCAGTCTTATCCAGTCACTCGGCCCTGGAGAACGAATCTCCTTAGCCAAGTTGGCTGTCGATCATTTGCAGCGGACATCCCGACCCATTCGCGTTGCTATAGATATTTCGATATGGCTTTTCCAAATCCAAGCAGGGAAAGGAGGCACCAATCCGGAGCTTCGAACCCTCTTCTATCGTCTGGTACGGTTGACGGGATTACCTGTGCATCCACTGTTCGTTTACGATGGCCCGCAAAGGCCCACGTACAAGCGTGGGAAGTTAATTGGCAGAAACACCGGAGTTGGTGATCTGGGAAGGGTAATACGGCGTTCCAAATATTTGATAGACTTATTCCGCTTTCCGCATCACACAGCACCGGGAGAAGCTGAGGCTGAATGCGCGAGGCTGCAGACCTCCGGTGTGGTGGATGCAGTTATGAGCAATGATGTCGACGCTATTATGTTTGGATCAAAGGTCACGATCATGAACTTTTCCAAAGAATACTCTAGCGGAACAAATGCGGCCACCCATGTTACTCTTTATCGAACCGAGGGGACTGGGGATGAAGAGAAACCGAATGTTCCGCTTGATAGGGGTGGCATGATTCTCTTTGCGTTGTTAAGTGGAGGCGACTATCTACCTGCGGGAGTACCAAAATGCGGCCCGAAGCTGGCAGGGGAAATCGTACAGGCAGGCTTTGGTAACGAATTATTACAAGCCATCGAAGGTAGCCCATCGGAAGTAGCTATGAAGTTAGGGAAATGGAGAGAACGGCTGCAAACCGAGCTCCATGAAAATGGTGAGGGATATTTTAGGTCCAAACACAAAGT